GTAAACTGAGATGCCAGTTTTTCCTAATGCTAAGCCTTGAATTCAGTTTCTGCTGTTGCACAACTGGTTTGTGTCCCTAGTTGCCTCTGGACATGGGATACACTCAAACTCCTCTGGAGGACTCATGGAGAAAGCTTAAATTGGGATAAAATCTATTATAGTCTGGGAAAATTTTCTTTTAATTTTCTTTTGTCATTAAGAAAATAGGAGAGCTTCTTGTTTCTGGTTACCTGAAAATTTCCTTTCTGTGGATGGGTACAAAAGTCCTTCCCTCTTACAGCTGCTCTGCAGCAGGATGACAATGCCCTAATACATGCAGATCTTCCAGCAGCAGCAGATTTCCAATTCCAGATACATTAATTATTTGGGAAATGTAAAAGTTCTGTTAAGCTTATTTGGAAGAGTAAACATCCTCTCTCCTCTTTGTCCTCCACCCCCCTAGTTTTGCCTTTCACATTGAAACAAGAGACCCATGTCCTTGGATGTTGATTTGCTCTCTTTTGGACAAGATTTACCCCAGACTAAACAGTTTTATCAATTTGTTTGAATAAAGGACACATCTAGGAAAATGGGTACTCAAAGGTGCACAGCCCAGCATGATGGAATTTTCATGGCAGTCTACTCAGTGTTGGGATGCAGGATCAGGGGAGAGGATTCCCTCCCCTCCTTCCTCCTCTCTACTTTCTTTATCTTTCTGTCCTTATCAGCATAAATATCTTATGTCCTTTGTTTCCTCCTCAAGATTAGGGCACGGAGATGCATTTTTTTCAGACAGATTGTTTTTCTCTGAGAATCTTCTGTGGGGAGAGGTCCCTCTGTGGGTAGCTAATGCTGGGGGGCTCAGCTGCAGGCTTTTCTCTCTGACTGACTAAAGCTGTTTGCTCACACATTGAAGCAGAGTGGTGCAAATTGATGGTTTAAATCCAAAGGGGCTGGCCAGGAGTCTCACAGGTAACTCTGAGATGAATGAGGTACTCAGCCCAGTTCCCTTCACTAGTGACCTATCATTTGCAGTGGGGCTTTTCTCCTGCCAGGCAGCTCCAGTTCACCCTGCACCCTGCATCCATTTCCTTGTGTCTTCCAGGGATGGTGGCCATTTTAATCCTCTCTGTGAAGGTTCAGAAAAGGCTTGGTGTGCCAGAAGGCTTCATGCTGTACCCAAGGCTTTGAGGTTGAGAGATGCTGTGCTGATGTCTCCCCAGGACAGCCTCTTGGAGAAGGGCAGGTTTGGCCTTTGCTATCCCTGTTTCCTTCACAGCAGGTGAGGAGCTGTGGTGGTCACAGAGGGCAGGCTGGATGCAGCCTGAGGATGCCCCTTACCAAAGAGGGACTGAGGGTGATGGCTGTGGGCATTTCTTTGGCTGCAGGTGGATTAGGCTGTCAGGGGCTGTGCCAGAGAAACAGCTGAGCTGTTTTCTGTGCTGCCCTTGAAAGCTGCACAAAGGCAATGCAGACAAACGTGTGCACAGGGCCAGCAGCAGGGAAAGCTCAAAGGAATGGTAGGGCTGACAGGAGCCATTTGCCCTGCCTTTGTTTACTGGTCCAAATGTGGATTATTGTCCCGTACTAACTGGCAGTTGCTGCTCAGAGGTAATGGTCAGGCACAGCCATCTCCAGCAGAAAGTGGGAAGGCTAATCTGCCCTGGAAGAAGGACCACCTGCAATGGCAGCTGGGGACAGCAGCCTGTTGTGGCCTTAGTCACATGTGTCTGCTAGAAAACTCTGCTCTTGTATTACACCTTCCCAGCTCACACAGTTGGGACTTTCATGACTTCTAGAGGATATCAAGCATGGTGTTCTAGTTGGAAAGCAAGGTGATTTGGATTGTTCTGATGGCATTTGGCTTCTCCTTCACCCCAACAGATAAGAAAGCTGCTTCTTTCCTGCCTTAGTCCTCTGAGAAGTATTTTTGGGATTTTCCCCTCTCCTCTCCACTTCCTTCAGTGAAGGTGAATGGAGGAAATGGCACTGTTTATCACCTCTTCACAATTATTTCCTAACAATCTTTCTTCATGGTGTCAAGGAAGCAAATTCAAGGCACAAAACTTTCAGGAAACTCAATCACTGGGTTGTGGCTTTCTTTGGGGTCCCTTTGCTTGCAGTGTTTCAGGACCTCAGTGTGTTTGTTGATGACATCAGGCTGACAGCTGGAATGCTTGAGGGAAGAGATGCCATCCACAGCCACCTGTCAGGGTCTCCAGGCCTAAGGAATGGGCCAATGTGAACCTCACAAAGTTCAAACAAAGCCAAGTGCAAGGTCCTGCACCTGGTTTGGGACAATCACCAGGATCAGTACAGACTGGGTGCTGAAGGGATCAAGAGCAGCCCTGTGGAGAAGGACAGGGGGGCTAAAAAATGGTGCATAAAAAATTGGATTTGAACTGGCAGTGTGCTCTTGCAGCCTGGAAAACAAATCGTATCTTTTGGCTGCACCAAAAGCAGCATGGCCAGCAGGGTGAAGGTGGGGGGATTCTGTCCCTGGGCTCTGCTCTGGTGACACCCCATCCAGAGTGCTGCATCCAGCTTGGGGGTCACCAGCACAGAAAGGACATGAACCTTTGGGGAGAGTCCATGGGAGGGCCAGGACAATGATCACAGGGCAGGCTATGAAGACAGACAGAGAGAGTTGGGGTTGTTCAGCCTGAAGGAAAGAAGGCTCTGGGAAGACCCTTTTGTCTTTCAATACATAAAAGAGAGCTGAAAAATGTGGAGAGAGACTTTTTACTAGAGCCTGTACTGACAGGGCAAGAGGGAACCATTTTAGATTAAAAGAGAGTAGAATTAGTTCTGTTATAAGGAATAAACTTGAGGCTGTAGAAGTTAGAAACAAGAGGGGATGATGAGGGTCCCTTCACCCAGGGAAGCAACTGGGTGAGGAGCTGAGAGGATGTGATTGGGACTGACCTGTATTCAGCACCTACTTTTTGACTCTCCATGTAAAACACATTAAAGCTGCTCCTGCTAACAGGAAAGGGACCCAAAATGTTTGGACTGTGAGGGACTCAGGTGTCCAAGGGAGGAACACCACAGCAATAGTCCACAGTGGAGCTCTGTGCACCATTTTCCAAAGACTGAAATACCTTGCAGCAAGTGAGGCCTTTACCACAGACACTAGGAATAAAGAGACAAGCAAAAAAAAAAAAAAAAAAAAAAGAAACCGATGCTCCCAAGAAGATTATTGCTTTTACACAGTGATGGCAGGCAAGCATCTCAAAATGAATGGGACAGAGTAAGAAGCCCTGAGATTAAAATTCATATTGTGCATGTATTTAAGGACAAATTTAAATTCATGCATTCTTACCTGCAACATTTCCTAAGCTTTTGAATTTGTCACTTGAAGGTGCTGCTTTTGTGTTGTTTGTGTAAGTTAATAACAGTGTGTCATTGTGTAACCAAGGCTGCTTTCAAACTCTGCAAGATGTAGAGGTAGCACAGAAGAGGAGTGCAGGCAGAGATGCCCAACAAGTGGTCAGCTGCAGCTTTAGCTGCATGCCAGACATCCCTGGAACAGACTTTGTAGCTGATTACAGCATACCAGAGAAGGTCTGGGCTTTGGCAAAGAGCTAGAAATCAAAGTCCTAATTTCCTGACTCTGTGATGACTGTGAGTCATAGCCAGTTTGGAAAAACTCTATTCCTGTCTCTCCATAAGCATAATAATGCTATGGAGCTTTTTGGTGTTCAAAGTGTTAAAGAGATCTTTAAGGAATTATATAAATGATACTTGTTGTAAAGGCTCATGTAATCACTTCTAATCAGAACCATAACACTTTCTTGTGTTTGAGGCTTGTTTGGCCTCAAACACAATCCTTTGAGATCTGTGTGTGTGTGTGTAAACATATGTGTATGTATGAAGTATGCAGCAAACAAGCTCTACTATGGTTCAAAAAAGCCTCATCTGGGCATTGACAGTGAGACAGACAAAACTGAAAAGAATGAAAATGGCCAGAGCTTTCCCTCCTCTCAAGCTGACAGATCCTATGCACTTGAAGAACAGCCTTCTCTTTCTCCTGCTCCCTCATCTTTGAAGACCAGTGATCTGTTTCATCTGCCTCAAACAAAGGACTCTTGAAAGATGTTCCCTTAAATTTATTTTCTCAACCCTGGGGCATACAATTACTGCTGTTCACTCATGCTTTGCCTGTTTAGATATTGGAAGGATACATGTACTTTCTGTCATTGTTACAGCATTCCCAGGACAGGCAGCATGTTCCCGATTCAGGCTCTGCCCGCCACTGGCTGTGGAGTCAGCAAGCCAAACCTTGTTTAGGTGCTTACAGAAACAAATGGTATCTTTACTAAGCTGATACCGGACCAGTGTGATGCCTCTCAGGTTCTGATCTGTGCTCAGTGAGATGGGAAAACCTCGTAGGAAACTGGATAAGGACCCTGAATGCTGCCTTTGACACTGCAGCTAGTTCCCCCAGCGGCATTCCTCAGGGAGCACATGATCGGCATGTGTAAACCCCCGTGACTCAAAAGATAAAACGCTTCACTAGCCCAGGCAAAAAAGGTTACAAATGTAACTTCGGACAGGATTCAGAGAAGCACTCGGGTGTTCTTTGCTTTGTAAGCACTGTAGGATAAAGGAACATGACACACAGCAGACACAGATCTGTTGAAAGCTGCCCATTCTAGCTGTGTGTTCAATTCCCTATGTCATGGGAGAGGGAAAGAAGTGGTTGTTAGCTCAAGTTTGGCGGCGACGCAGTTGTAACCTGTTAAAAGCCCACTGCTGTTTGGATTTGCTCTGTGCAGGATGAAAACATTACAATGAAACACATTTTAAATGCAGGAGTCCAGCTTGAGAGACCGGTGCACAAATCCTTGTTAAAACAGTCACTCAATGTCGATTTTATTACATCATGTTGTAGCAGTATGGTTACAATTGGTGATTCAATACACACTTCAGCACCTTGTAGGAAAATATACTGTGGGCTGGCTGCCTGTTTGTGAGTGTCCATCCTTCCTCAGCTCTCTGGCACAGTCCCAGAGCTGATTTCACACTAACGTGGCAAGAGCCTGGATGCTGTGGGAGCTTCCAGAGGTCCTGTGCACGGCGTGGTGGTTTCTGACGCTTCTGTCTCTAAGGCTGCCTTTGGGGCTGTGCTGAGCCTTGGCTGCGTGGCTCTGGAAGGCCCGCACGGTGCGGATAGCGAGGATGCAGAGCACAAAGCTGGCAAAGTACAGGCAGGAAGCCACGACCCCGAAGAGGCCGACGGCTGCGTCGCCGCCCTGCACGTCGCAGTTCATGGAGGTGTAGCCACGGCGCGCGTAGAGCCGCTCGCGCCGCCTGCACACCTCGGTGGCGTTCACCTGCCTGACAAAGTGCAGGTAGAGCCCCACGGCCGCCAGGTACGCCAGGCCAGCCAGCAGGCTGAAGGCACATTCGCCTACCAGCAGCCCCATCCGGAGCTGATGGATGGGTTTTGCCCCCACGACAAGGAAGACGAGGGTGAGCGTGGCCGCTGTCAAGCTGAAGGCCACCCCGCCGTACACGCAAGGGGCTCTCATCTGGGTGAACTGCATGTCCAGGTCCCTCACCTCCCGCAGCTCTGTGCCCTCAAAGGGGCTGTAGGCTGAATTCAGGTTAAAGGATCCAAAGCCTCCGAGGGATGTGAAGCCTGCAACAGAGGCTTGGGAAGCGCCCACACAAATCAGCACCAGGAGGTTAACCGTGATTTCCACGAACTTCAAAATGCCTGGAAGGAGCACAACAATGCAAATAGATGTCAAAACCACATCTTGTGCAAACGGTGGGTGACAGAAGTACACCAAAACCATAGGCAGAGAGTACTAATACTGAGATATTCCTCTTGGCTACAGCTACAGAAAAGTACTTGGGAAAAAAAAAAAAAAGAGAAGCTTGAACTCTCGCGGGTACATTTTGGAGGCTGGGCAAATTACTTTTTTTAATTTGTCAGTGTGCTTGATAGATGGATCTTCATGCAGTGAAAAAAAATCCATAAAAATTTTACAGTGCTTGTGTTACTGCCAAGGCAAGCGCACAGCGATTATATTTTGGCCTGTAACTACTTGGCATAAACACACTGAGCAAGAAATATCCAGTATGAACAAAATGCTGAGGTTGATGCTGACAAAAACCTAGAAGCTTCTAACAGCTTAAAAAATCATGCAAGTTACTTCAGTCCTTCAAAACATGTTTACTGCTTTAACTTACACCTTTTTTTTTTTTCTGTGAAGGTATTTGTTAATTTAAACTTACTATCTAACCAGATGCAACTTGCACTTTATCTCCTTCAGAGACAAAAATCACTCGTAACTCTGAAGAAGGAGTTTCTGATTGCACAAAAAGAAAAAAACCCAAAAAAGAAGGAGGGTAAGGAAGCAAAACCCACCTTGTATGCAGAAATAAATTAAGTGAATTTGATACTAGGTCATATGCACTCTTTCATACCCTGACCTTCAGAAGAAAGCCTTACAACTTCTGAGTTGGCTCTTCACTTTTTCTTATGTTAGGCTACTAGTAATAGTAACCAAGTATCTTTAAGGGAAAAAATACAGACAAAACCCAGAACTGAAAAGGGCAGAAATTGCTTATTTTTGTGGTAGCAGCCTCTCAGGAAGCTGCCTCATGTTTGATAAATCTGATTATTCTGTGACAGCTCACTAGGGGTCAGACTAAGATTAGTAAACATGACGGATGGTGAAACGTAGCACAGCTAGAGTTGCCTATTGGGGAAATGAAAACCCTTAGCGTGTCAGGGATATTGCTCCAAAGTTCTGAAGTTAATTACAGAATTGTAAATCTTATTATTCCATTGCTGTCTGACAGCCAAAAATGTAAGATGCTTTGTCCTATATTTGTCTTTAAAGTGGAGCAGGATCTGTGGTTTGCACACAGACTTTCATTTTATGCTACTAGTGCTGATCCACATGGCATTTCCCTCTTGAGCAATGGCTCAGTTGTTGTCAAGGCTGTATGGGCTTGAAAACGAAGGGCTGAAGCAGTAACACAAGGGAATTAAACAAATTCGTCTCTTGTGTTGCCAGACCCTTCTAACCAAAGAAAGCCAGTGACAGCCACAGTGAAGGATTATCAGATATTCTCATTCTGTCCCTTCTTACTCCCTCCACAGAGGGCTAAGGTAATGAGTCCTTTCCTGCTGCCACTTGCTCTGCACAGGAAGGTAGTGTTAGAGCACACAAAAATTTTTCCCTTGTTCAAGAGGAACCAAGTGAGCAGTTCTGTGTATGTGTTCTTCAGAGGTGATGCTGATTTCTGCATGGCAGCGCGCCTTTTCTTTGACCCTGCTGCACAACCATTTCTGTGAAGCAGGGCAATAACTGTGCTGGTTACCAAATCTCTTCAGGAGGCTTCAAGTACTTCAAAGGAGGTATTTGTGGAACTAAACACAATTAGAGAGAAATTTAACTTTTGGCCCCAGAGTTATGATTGGGAACTTCTTGTGCCAAAGTCAAATAATGCAGCCAAAAGACTTGTCATTTTTAATAGGTAAAGAGTCATCACTTTACTAGGATTGTTCACAGTATTTTGAAAGAGTAGTAGCTGTGCAGAACATTAATTCGAACTCAGTCAGGTGGGGGTTTTTTTTGTCTACTCAGTTGAGTTGTACATTATGCCTTCCAAATACAGGGAGTCAGCTTAGATCCTCAGGGCCCTTAGAAAGTGTGACAGTGTTGGATGCAGGAGGGCACTTCCCTTTTTAAAGGCTGAGATGACAAGTGATTTCATAGATGCTCCAGCAGGAAACAGTTCTTACAAGTCTACATGGAGGAAAGACCATTTGATTAAGGGAAACATAAATTTTAAGTATGTTTGGCTACTTGGTAGTTGGGAACTCATGATCAGTCAGCTGCTGACTTCAGAATTTCCTTTTCATCTGTGTGTACTGAGGCCCCCTGACCTGCCAAGCATCAACTTTTCCTCTACCTCACCTTGCTGAGCTTTGGAAAAGGCAATTTTCTGTTCTCAAAGTAGTCACTGCCTGCTGCTAACCTCCCCACATTTATAACTGACCCCAATCCTCACTGATGCTGCTCCAAAATTTTCTGTGTGTTCACACACATTCTATATGCCACCCCTTAACTTTGCTGAGCTGACTGATAACGGGATGACAAATGTGATCAGTGCAGGTCTACTGTATTTTTAACCACAGCAATAGATGCTTTAAAGGCATTCCTGAAAAATTTCCTTAGGCAGGGCATTCAGGCTGGACAGGTTTTGTAAGTACCTGCACAATTGTGACATACACCTGCTGTAGAATTGATTAGAGTGACTAAACAATGGAGAGAGGTTCAGCAGCAGCTACTTCACCAATCACTTGTATCATTTGCATTAACTTGGGTTTTTTAAAAGAAAGTGCAAGAACAAAGCCTCCTGTACTAAAGACAATTTTAAAATGATAAGCAGTATGTAGAATGAATTACAGGTCTATGATGACAGCCAGCTGGGTTTATAAACATAGCAGACAATTAGTGGAAATGCCTAAGACGTTGTATAATCATCAGGGCTTTGATGGAAATATTAATCCTTACAGTATGTTCCAACCCTGTAACCCTAAAAGCCTTTTGCAGCCCTGATCTGTGATAGTTCCAAGCTGATACAAAAACCTACTAGTATAACAGGATAGAGACAGATTTGAGAAGTAAGGAATAAAAAGACACATAAGTTTTGAATTTTAGCTCTGCCAAGGTATGGTCACACACATCCTAGCAGTGACCTGTGTCAAGCAGTGTGCTGCTGGTGGAAAGGACTGAGTTACAAGCCAGGCTTCCGAGTCTGCCCTGCCATTTCTGCTTTCACAGGCCACTTAGCCATGTCATCTTGAAGTTATATCTGCAGAAACCAAAAGATCTTCCTATAGGGAAGTTGCTTATCTTTACAGTAATTCCCTAATCCCATGCAACAATGAATGCATTGCAAGATTTAAGTGTAAAATAACCAAAGGTCTGAACAGCTCAGAATTCTATTGGTTTACTTATTTTTTTCCCTTTCTCAGGTTCAACATCTTTGGATTTACTTAAAATGTTACTCATTTGTATTAAAATCAGCACATTTGTATTAAGATCAGCACAGTCAACAGTTGGCTTTAGGAACTAACCCTCTCCTTACTGAATAAGTTACAGGAGTCCTGTCAGGGCTCCTGGATTGCTATTTCCTTTCCTATGCCTCTTTCCTGCACTGCTTTTCAGCACTGAAGGTGAGGAGAAGGGCTGCAATCTAGAAGTGGGTGCTCCAGAGATTTCCAGAGAATTGTTTCATTAGTTCCATGAAATCTAAATCTGCAGTGGACAGTAACTTCAATGTATCCTAGTTGTTAATTTTGCTTGATTGCAGTTGTCTTTTGCTGTTAGTACGCTTCCTGCTATAACCAATGATATAGCCTTCCAATTTATACTATTAATGTACTATTCACTTTTTCTTCCCCTTGCTGGGATATTTCCATGGCATCAGAACAATGGTTTTATCTTCTATCAAATGTGGGCCTGACCATCCAGCAAAGCTGGTTAAGGGTACACACCCACAGGCAGCTGACTTTAACAGCTCCCACTCTTGGCTGGGCAGTCACTACTTTTCTCACTTACCTCCACATTAGGCCCTTCTAAGAGCTGTTCAAATAAATTAAAATAGCAGGAAACTATTTAACTATTTTCTTGGTGTTGTTCTGCAACTTTAGCCTCTTGAGGTGACTCACAGCATATCTGATGAGCAATCGTGTTGGCATGAGTTTAGCAAGGGCAGTAACAGCCAGGACCAGAGAAGGACCAGAAACTCCCCTTCTCAGGTGAGGTGAGCTGTAAAATCCACATGCTCTGCCTCATAAGACCACACTGTGGCTGAATATGTGGTACCCAGCAACTCAGCTGTGCACTCAAGTCTCATGTCAGAAGTCCTAAAGAGGAATTTCCATCCATCCACTCTGGCAGGACAGCTCTGATGTTCAGGTGTGGGGGTCATGGTGTGTGTATACACGTGTACATAAAGTAGAATGGTCAATTCTTGCTTGTACCTCTGTTTCTGCAGCTGCCATAAATGAATTTGCAGGACAGACAGTTCTGACTCTTTCAATTGAACTCCCCTGATTCCATGAGGGCCATACTAATGGAAAAGGCCTTCAAAGTGTCTCCCTCCACTGTATCTGGGACAGAAGTCACCTTCTTCCTCTGCTGAATGCACATGGACTCCTCCTCCTGTCTCTTTTTGTATCATTCCCTCCTCTTCAGTGAACATCACTGTGTACTTCCAGAATATTCTATTCTAGTCTGCCATTCTCCATTTTGGCTTGCCTTCTCCCTCTGCTTCCTGTGCAGACCACATACCACAGGGACCAGCAGGACCCAGGGGCAGCCCTAGGGATGTGTGGCTGCCACCCTTGGACACCTGGATCTCAGTGGCAGGGCTGGTGACACACAGGTCAGTGGTACCCATGTCACATCCCATTAGGGGTCGCTCCAGGAGAAGGGAAGAGAGGAGTTAGAAGCTACAACACACATGAAAAATCTTTCTTCAAGCCTTTTTCACTGCAAGCTGTATTTTGTTTATTTTCCCCCGCCCCCTGTTTGGGTAAAAGCTTTCTGCTTTTCAGAGGTAATCTTTATGATTTTTCTTTTACCCCTCAAAAAGGAGAAGACAAGTATTTTGAACATATATAGCGACTTACAAAAGCAGCAGTCAGTCCTGAAAAGGATCTCAAAGGGAGAACATCTCTTGCAAGTG